AGGTGGTGAGGTTATCCTTATCCCTATTCCTGAGTCCTTTGGCTAGTAATATTATTTGTACCAGCAAGCTAAATGCTATTACGGTATATAGGCCGGTAACTGGCAGATTAGCATCCTCCTCAAACAGGGAATTCACATAATAAGCAAAAATATTACCAATTTTAGCAAATGATAAATATTCTGCCATAATTTTACCTGATTTCTACTCCAGATGCAGTAAATATATTTGACCAGCAGGTAGCACAGGCGTTCAGTTAGTCCGCCGCGTGTGGCAGCAGTCAGTCAGCAGTGGAGAGAGGTCACAAAAGCGGCTGCACTTATCTTAGAGAGTATACGGCCTTTCAGCCGCAACCACTGAAATAGATTCGGTTTTACCGCAGCAGCAGCCAGGGGAAGCCTCTGCTGAAAGCCGAGGCCTACTCACCTCTAGGCAGCTAGAAACTGTCTCCAAGCTGGGTGGGTGGTTCTGAGCAGCTCAGCTGCAGCGGGTTGGCTGCTAGTCGGGAGCACCTGTGGAGAGAGGGCACTTTTCGGACCTAGGCCGCAGGCCCGGTAGAACCCACAGCCTGTCCCAAATGGGGTGTAGATTTCCAATATCCCACTTCTTACACCAGATATAGTGGGAAATTACTAATATGGAGCCAAGTGGAAATATAAGGGTATTTAATAGGGAAAAGTCTTACTTACAGAGCGACCTAGTCAGCCGGCGTGGCAGCAGTCTGTCCAGCAAGTACCAAAGTGAAACCGAAAGAGAAAACACAGTCATTCTATGTCACCCTGACCACGCCCTCGCAAGCGTGGTCAGGCACACCTGTAGCCAGCCCCTAAGTAGGCGTGGCTACAGCTTCCCCTACATTTCTATTTTTCTTGTCTTACAGCACTATTTGAATATTCCCTTCTCTGAAATTGTTGTGTCAGAAAACCCCAATCATTGACATCAGAATACCAGGTTTTAATGGTAGTGCCTTCCTCAGAAACTCAAACTCTTAGAGACAATGTTGAGTGTCACCAACACAGCTGGGAGGAATCCTGTACCCTCTTAGCACATATTTGCCCTTTCCTTCACTGTGCACTTGCAGATGGCTTTCATCATTGTGGCCGGGATCTGCCTCTGCCTCTATTTTCTGTTTCTGTGCTTCATGGTATTTCAGGTATTTCGAAACATCAGTGGAAAGCAATCTAGTCTCCCAGCCATGAGCAAAGTCCGGAGGCTGCACTATGAGGTAAGCAGCTTTCTTAGCTCAATCTAGAGCTGATGCTCATGATCTCTAGCTGGGTGTGTAAACACACAGCCATGGAAGTTGAAAGTTTTAGTTTCAAATACACAGGAGAGAGAGGCAGAGGTAGGTGGATCTCTGTGAGTTTGGGTCCAGCCTGGTCTACAGAGCAAGTTCCAGGAACGACTCCCAAGCTACACAGAGAAATCCTGTCTCAAAAAACCCAAACCCCCCCTCAAAAAAAAAAAAGAAAGAAAGAAAAAAGAAATAAATTAATAACTTCTCATATAGGGTCCTGGGGCAAATAAAAAGACACTCAAACAACTATTTCCTGGGGTTTTCTGAGGTGTTAATGTGTTCTCTTAGCAGTAAGATAGAAACCTGCCCAATGGGTTCTTCAAGAAAAACTTTTGGTAGAACCTAGGTGCTTATTGAGCTATGTATAATTGGCTTAGCTTAGGATATGGCTTTCCTCCCAACCCTTACAGATTAGCTCAAATATTCTTTCCAGACTTAAAAAAATCAGTTAATAATTTGTGTGTGTGTGTGTGTGTGTGTGTGTGTGTGTGTGTGTGTGTGTGTGTGTGTGAGAGATGTATGGGTGTGAGGATGCATGGCACAGCACAAGTTTAGAGGTCAGGTAACAACTGTAAAGATTCAGCTCTCTACTTTGTCTTTTGCATAGATTCAAGGAATTAAACTCAGGTTGCTGAATGTGTGTAGCAAATACCTTTATCCTCTGAGCAATCTTTCTGACGCATGCTTCCCAGGCTCTTAGTAGTCCGCATTCTCTAAAATAGCCAGCAAGTGCTCAAATAGAGTTCAATATTCTGCTTCTACTTTATGTTAGTTACTCAAGAGAAACACGTAGCCTCCTCCAATCTCTAATGCAGGTGACACATTGACTAGACTCGTTGCTTAAATAGCTTGTTATGTGAGTAGAGGATAAACTGCAGAATCATGAGGTTCTGCACAGCCATTCAGCACAGAAGACACCCTAATCAGTAGGCACCATTCTTTAAATCCTGAATTTTTGGAAACCAAAAGTACTTTCTCAGGCTTGTCTGTTTCCAGAGCTGGAGTGACAAATGAGAACATTCAACTAAATCAATTTCAGTTTGATGAATTCACCCCTTCCAAACTGGAGATGAATTTCAGTGCAACTATAGAAAACTTTTATTTGGTAACTTTTGAACCCTAGTGGAGAATTATATAAACTGTTTATCAGGGAACTTGATAGCTTAATGATGTGTTGTGCATGTAAATTCCTAGGCTCCAGCATCATTGTTTCATTATAGTTAAGAACATAGAAAACATTTTGCCTAAAAATTTCTTCAGCTACATTCACCTATGCAGAAAGGGTGTTAACATATGAAAATATTTTACTGTCATTCTTAGGAATTTGGTTTTGCAGGTGTGTGTGTGTGTGTGTGTGTGTGTGTGTGTGTGTGTGTGTGTGTGTGGAGAGAGAGAGAGAGAGAAAGAATGAATATATTAAACCACTCTTCCTGTCTTTCCTCACAGGGTCTGATTTTTAGGTTCAAGTTCCTCATGCTTATCACCTTGGCCTGTGCTGCCATGACTGTTATCTTCTTCATTGTTAGTCAGGTGAGTGGACCCTAAGCCTTCTGAAGACACTGTCCCTGGAGTGATCCTCACATATAGTACAGGAGATTTTATAGAGTTTCTGAGGACAAAAGCAGAGGTTTATTTTTTTTTTTAGCTAACTAACCCTTGTTTGTTTAGATCACTCCAGCATGGGACATTCCTCAGGCTGGTGACATAGACTGGCTTCCCCCTTCCAGTCCTAACTTGTAGAAAGTTGCTAAATAAACTAAAGCCTGTAGCCATATTAAAGGGGCATTTTATTTAAGAGAATCAGTGTTTCAAGCTCTGTGGCATAACACTGACACTGACAAGCATTTTATAATTTTATTGGGTTGTTATCTAACATTAACAATTATACTTTGACAGGCCTTTAGTCTTTGTATGTGATAATTACCTTGTCACTTAAGCATGAATATAACTCAAAAGTCACATTGATAGAAACTTATCTTTTTACTGTTTCTAAACTCAAAGTTTGATGTTCTTTAATTCCACATAAAGGGATACTTTCTCAGTCTAGACACACAGGGGAGGGCCTAGGCCCTATCCCAAAGGATATGACAGACACTTAAGATTCCCCCATGGAAGGCCTCGCCCTCCATGGGGAGCAGAAAGGATAAGGGATAGGTAGGGTGTTGGTGGGGGCAAGAGAGGAGAGGAGGGAGAGGGAACTGGGATTGACATGTAAAACAATCTTGTTTCTAATTTAAATTTAAAAATGGAGAAAAAATATTGATTACTTAGTTTGAGAAGTGAAAAAGTCTATCTAAAATCTGATATATTATGCACATATTAGTCAGATGTGTTTCACAAAGTTCTTCTGAGGTAAGTAGGATAGGGACTGTTAGCCATGTTTCCGAAAATATAATCCCATGGCTTTTGGATGTTATTATATACTCTCTTTTCCAGAAATGTGGTAATTTAGTGGGTTATTTAACATTTCTTAACATATTAGCATTTATCTTTTTACTATACAATTGTACCATATATAAAAATAATATTGCCAAGTATTTAGTAGAGTCCCTGGTGTATCATAAGCGTGAACAGCTGTGTTAGTAACTCACCAAAATGCATACAAGTTGTAAACTAGAACTCAGTCATTCTGGATCTTTTGCTGGATCTGTTTGGATAGCATAGAGGAGCATTCTGGTAGAGCCTCGGGAGAAGGGTGATTTATCCTTTCACCTGCTAGCAAATTTATCTTCAGTTCATGAACTATGCATGGATTCTTTTGACAATCTAGGGAGGCTATGGTTCTCTTCTCAGAATGCTTCTAAATAAGTAAAATAAAATAGTTTGATTTCAAAGGGAATCATATATGCAATTATATATATACATGTATTTAATTATATACATTACAGATAAGTCATACTTATCAAAAATATGTCCTCAGCACATAATTTGTACAAAAATAACATTTCATGAGTAATACTTACATCATAAAGATTTGTTTTAGACATTCATAACTAAAGTAAGTACCAACTTCAATTAGAAACTAATAAAAATAAGAATACTTTTTCCTGCTCAGTTCAGACCACTTTAATTCCATCCAAGGAAACCACAAGCGTTGAGCCACTAGTGCTTTGTTGGCTATGCCCACTGGTATATATTGGGTCTGACTCTGTTCAAGGTTGACTACATGTAGAAATAAATAACAATATAGCTACATGTGCTTGCACATTGTTCACTCCATCTTATTTTTACTTGTAGTAGGAATGTGTTTATATCAAACCATTCATAAAACCTTGGAAACTTCATTCTAGACACAGTAAAGCTATGGCTAATTCTGAATGAGTTCTTTAAAAAAAAAATTTCCTTATATTTATTTGTGTGTGTGTATCACATGTGCCACTGGAGTCAGGCTTTTTTTCTTTCACCATGTGGACCACAGGGATAAAACTTGGATCATTAGCCTCAGCAACAAACACCTTTATCTTCTGAACCATGTCTCTGGCTCCTGAATTCATATTTAATTCGGTTAAGACCCAAAGACTCATATGCAAGCAAAGGGTTAGGGTTAGCCTTCACTCAACCTTTGGCTAATTTCCTTGTGTAACCACCATGCTTCCTAGTTCCTCCAGACCCTCAGCAATATGCAGTTCTTACACGGCCTTTTGAGTTCCTTAGCTGAGAGAACAGAGAACCCTCATCCAGAAGTGGAGTGGCATCTCCAGTAAGATGTACCATGTTCTCAGGAAGATGAAAGGGAAGAGCACTTCCATTCCTGAGGCCTGCCTCTGCCATTTTGCAAAGCTGGAGTTCTCTCATGCATACTTTGGGGCCACAGCCCTCCTTACTGACTTAGCTCTGCAGAACTCCTTTCACCTGAATTCTAGAGGTGCTATGCTTTGCCTGAATTTAATCCTGTACATGTTTGACTGTTGCACATTTTAAAGTGGTAGAAGCTATCTTACAACAGTATTTGCAGCTTTTCTTTGCAGAGAAAGATTAATTTTTCATTATCCCAGTATTGGGCTCCAGCCTGCTTTTTATATTAGCTACAATAGTCAGAGGGGTAGATTTCAACTCTAAGGAGGTATGTCGTCTTTGAATTCCATTAGCACTACATATTCCTCCTGCTGCTTTTTCTCTTTCCTTTTCTTTCTTTTTTTCTTTATCCTTCTTTTTTGAGATTTATTTATACATATCTAAGATATTTTCCTGCATAACTCTCTGTGTCCCTGGTACTGTTAATATTTCTAATATTGTTTTGGAATGTCACAGCATTCCTGAAATGAGCTTACCTGAAAGAAAATCCATTGGGTAACTTTTGAAATGGACCTCAGCATTAGGTAAAAGGGATGTTTTTAAAACTCCCATTATACTTGTTGGGAGAGCTTCCATTTAAGCCTCATGAAATGTATGTGGGGAGTCTTGCCAGGATATTGAAGCTCTGAGGCCAGGAATGAAAGGTTCATAGGAAGCTGTTAGAATGTGGTGACCTTGAGGCTTTGTAACTAGGACTAAGGTTCAGTCTTTAATGCCTGCTATTTTAATGATCTGAGTCACAGCAATGAAGAAATGCTGTACCAGAGTCTGGTCTTTCAGCCCTGTTCCTTCTGGAAAAGAGAGGAGTTTAGGTTAGAGGTGATTTTAGAAAGGAACGGAAGTACTGTGCAGGGAAGAAGCTCATTGACCTTCACTGAAGGGACCCCAGAGACCTGATATTCAGGCCAAGAAACATGTAAACTCCCAGAGAGCCTGTTCCCCAGGCTTACACAGATGTAAGGAAATATTTCCTATAAGAGAGCCTGTGTTGGGAGTTTGGAAATCTTGTTGTTACTGGAATGCTGGTTGGTTTGTTCTCACTTAATTGCAGGGGTGTAAATGGCTCCCTATACAGAAGGAATCTGTTGACATGGTACACATCTGGTAGCTTCCCCAACTCCTTGCACAGTGGTATTTCCTACACCTTTACCTTCACCAGCTAATGGTGTTGCTCTCTCTAGGGCTCCCCTCATCTGGATATCATCAGCCTCTTCTATAGAAAAAATTGTTTCACTCTGAGAAACTCTTTACTTCAAAGCCCAGGTTATAATCACCAGCTGATGGTATTCCTGTATACCCACTCAAAGACCTTATTCCTACCAGGTCCGAATACCAGGTATGGGATAGGTAAGGTGTTAGTGGGTGGCAGGGGAGGAGGGGAGGGAGAGGGAACTAGGATTGACATGTAAAATAATCTTGTTTCTAATTTAAATTTTAAAAAATGACCATTATTTATTTATTTATTTATTTATTTGAATTACAAATAAGATTGACTTACATGACGATCCCAGTTCCCTTCTCCCTCCCTTCCTCCTCTAATACCCCCCCAACTAAAATCCTACCTGTCATATGTCCTTTCTTCTAATCTACACCTGACTCAAAATTTCTGCTTCCTCATGACCTCTGCATCCTTCCTTTTCTTCCCTTCTCACTCCCGAAGCTTCCTCCCCCCTCTTCCCATATTCTCAATTTGTTCAGGGCATGGTGACCCTTTCCCCTTCTCCAGGGGACAAAGTTTGTCTCTTTTAGGGTCTTCCTTGTTTACTAGTATCTCTGGCAGTGTGGATTGTTTGATGGTAATCCCTTACTCTATGTCTAAAATCCACATATGAGTGAGTACATATCATGTTTGTGTTTTTGTGATTGAGTTACCTCTTTCAGAATGGTTTATTCTAGTGCCATCCATTTGCCTGCAAATTTCAAGATTCCATTTTTTTTTT